TGTCTTCGGCGGCACTTTGGCGGCGGGCCCTCACTCGCTCCGGGTGTCTTCGGCGGCACTTCGGCGGCGGGCCCTCACTCGCTCCGGGTGTCTTCGGCGGCACTGAAGGAAATGCCGCCGAAGACCCGCGGAGCGAGTGAAGGTCCCGCTGCCGAGGTGCCGCCGAAGACCCGGAGCGCCGCCGGGTGAGTAAAAGCACCGCCCCGTCAGTAAAAGCGCCGCAGCGGGTGGCGCCTTTTTTTTTATGCTCCCCCCTGTGCCCTCCACCTGGCTACGCCACTGCAGTGCTGGCTTTTGTGAATCCCATTCTTAGGCACCTACCGCCCTCTGTGCCTTGTGTAGGGAGCCTGCGCACCTAACGTGGGGCTGCAGCTTCCACTGGGCGGCAGGGGGCCTAAAAGTGAAGCACTGCAACACGGAATCAGGGTCCGCTGAGTGGATCCGGACCCTGCTCTTTGTGCACTTGCCACGATAATAAAACAAAGTGCTCTTTGTAGCTCTACTGATTCATGTACTGCTTCCAATCAGAAAGACCACCTGCCTTCAGCAGTCAAGTCTGTTCTGTCTGCGTTCCAGCTCTTCTGCTACATCCAGTCTATTGAGTCAAATACTGTCCTAAAGTACATGGAAATTATGCTGCTAACTTCCCCCCGTCAGTAGTTGTTTTTTTGCTTACTCCAAAATAGCTGTCCTGTTAGCCATGATCTCCCTTTAGTGAATCCCTGCCGACTGAGCTTAATGAGATCACAGCTCGTGTCCTTGGCTTGTCAGTGTTGAAGGCAAGCTGCTGCAGTCGTAGTTTTTAGGACATTGCTGGGTGGGTAGGACACACGATAAGGCTTGTCCCCAACATGACAGCCCGTCGACAAGCTCCTGAATGGAAAGGTGAGCGGTGGAGGGAGATTTGGAGCACAGGGCTGCAGGGGAAGGCATTTCATCATTGCAACTCAGCTGAAGCTGAAAGGGAAGATTTTCAAGGTGCCTAATTCCAAATGCCTGTCCATGGGAGTTAGGCACTGAACTCCCATTAGTGACTTTGCAACTCTTGCCCCTCAAAAACTTGACTTCTGAAAGTAAAGTTTTTTTGAGGGGGGGAGCATGAAGCTCAATGCACCTTGCGTATCTAGGCTCTGCTCCGTAACTTTCCCTTCCTTCCCCCTCTACTGAACTGGGTTTCCCCCCTTCCCCAAAATTGAGAATCACATTTCTCAAGTGTTCCACACCAGCAGTTCTCCACAAAGTTCCACCTTCATTGAGGCAGGGAGGTAAAGGTCAGGAGTGAAATCGTGACGTCAAGGGCAAAACTTCTATTGACTTCAGTGGGGCCAGGATCTCTCTCTCTCTCTCTCTCTCCCAGGCTTTCAAAAGAGGTATTCAGCATTGCCAGAAGCTCAGCCAAAGGTGGGCTCTGAACTTCGATGGATCTCAATGAAAGTTAGGAGCCTACCTTTGAGAATCTGGGCCTTAGCTCCCAGTCTACCAAATTCATTTGAAAATCTGGCCATATTTTGAGGCCTAAATTGGAATGGGCCTGTTTTGAAAATCAGCAATTAGTTCTGAGCTCTTAGGAAAATTCTGGCCTTAATACATTAATTCCAGGACAAACCTTATGCACAAAACAGCCATTTGTGTTTGGGGAGGGAGTGGGAGTGATGGGGTCTGGGTAGTTTCTTGAATTCTTTTGTGCTCAGAAACTTTGCAACATTCCGGTGACATTTCCTAAGTGATTTAAAAAAAAAATCCTCCATAAAGATGAGGATCATCAAATCGAAGTAATTTAGCAAAATGTGACAAGAAAGATTAGCCTTACCTGATGCTCCTCTTGGTTGAAAATGATTTAAATAAAGCTATAAATCTTCCGGAACATGTTGTATCCGTTGGAAATTGCCATCTAGATTTTGGCGTGTTTAAAAAAAAAAATCTACCTTTAAACTGGTGATACTGTGTGTGCGACCCAGTGGAGAACTTAATTTCCATGGAGGCAGAGAGGAGAAATCTGCTGTTGGGAGAAATGAGTGCCTTCTCCGGAGCAGTCTGGCAGACGTGTCGGTCTGAGAGGTGTGGTTGGCCAGAGTCAGCTGCTCCTGGTGGCTTCTGTTCCCCTCTCACACACACATGGGAATTCAGCAGATCAGAATTACCTTAGCCACCTCGCTCTCAATAATGTTACGTGGGATGGGATGCCAGAGGAAAGCAGCAATTCCCTTCCCCCACCACCCCAGGACAGAATGGGAAGGAAATTGCAAGTGCAAAGACCAACATTTCCCACCTCCAGCTGGGAATAGGCTGGGTAGGGTATGACCATATAAACCATGGTGTGTTAATAGTTAAGGCCCCAGGGCCATTAACATTCAAGCCCACACTGTGCATTTCCCTGGAAGGTCCAGACTTTTTGACTCTTGTGCTTATACACCACACACGAGCCAGGCGTCGCGTCTCTTGCTACTAGCGCAGTGTTTTGGCCCATCCTGGCATGGCTTCGAAAGGGAGGGTGAATGAGAGCGCACGTTTCTGGAGTCAGCAGCTGCTCTGCTCCTTGCGGAGGCAGGAGAAGGCCCCCAGGCCTGCCGAAAGCCAGTGAGAAATGGGGCATTGGCAAGGCCTAGGCTGTGAGTGTAAAACCTCCCAGCTTTTAATAAAAAGGAGAGGTGGGCAGACAGATCAGCTGGCTCTGTTGACAGCAAGAGATTGCTTTGCTGAATGTCTCTTTTGTTCATGCCAAGCCGACGGACATGCAAAGTGCCAGGCCAAGACGCTGCTCTGTAAAGTTACAATGACGATGCAGATTTCGCCTTCATCTGCAACTGATTCCTACTGGCTCTTAGCACTTTTCCAGAACTTAGCACAAAATGCCAGGGTGCCTTGAATCCCGGGTGCGGACTGGGCCTGGGTGGGTGCCACAGACAGGTAGGGAAGAGAGGACTCCTCCGCACCAGGTTGTCAAAGAGCAGTTGCAGCATCCTCTGTGATGCCAACACTGCCATCCTTTTGCTGTGGAATGGCCAGTGGACCTGTATAGTGCCAGGTCCCTGGCCCTGCTGCCAACTTTCCCTGAGGCCTAGTGGAAGACATGGCAATTTCCTACAATATCTCTGGGAGATGTGACTGTATTACATTTCTGTATCGTTGTGGGCCAGGGACTGTATATAATTCCATGGAGGGCAGGTGCACACAGCTCCTGCAGGAACTAAGAGGGGAGGAGGAGAGAGAGAGAGAGAGTGTGTGTGTGTGTGTGTGTGTGTGTGTGTGTGTGTGTGTG